AGGTCACAGGCAGAGCCCGGGAGAAGAAGGCCTTCCCCTGTAGCCAGCTGTCTGCTTCTCCTGGCAGCAAGGTGAAGAGGTGTCTCTTTACATGCCTAGGAGGTGACCCTAGGATAAATTAAACTGTTTTGGTTTTAAAAAATCCTGTATTATTGTCCTACTTGTCTTCTACATGGCTCTTCTCCTTATTTCTTGGTCCAAAAGGTGTCACACTTGCAGACCAGTGGTGAAATAAATAAAACGGTAAACCACTTCCCCACCTTTCAGATATCGTAATCTTGAAATCAAGGTGCTCTCAGGGAAAGATATGGGAATAGGAACAACAGTTCCTTGCTAAGGAAATTAAAATAAAAATGCAGCAGTACAAAAAAGAAAACTAACAAAAAAACCCAACCCACTGACAGAGTCAGAATAACAACCTAACTCCCTGTTGGTCAGGGTGTTGGCAGCAGTCTGATTAAATGGTGGCTGCAGTCCTGGAGTGACAGATGTGGTTCTGTTGAAGCAATGATCCTGTAGAAGAGTGTAGCTTTCCTCTGAAGGTCCGGTGATGTAGATGGGTCCAGTCTCTCCTCTGGGAATCCAGTGGAGAAAGGCTGCTGTGGCATTCCCAGTCTCTCCAAAGATATCCAGGTAGGAAAGCTTGGCTCCTCCCCTGGGTGGAGCATCTCACAATGGGATGATGTGATTTTATCAGTCATGCAGTGAGACTCAATGGCCCATTAACAGAAGATTTCCCCCTGGAGGGAGGATGGGTCTTGGAAGAGATAAACACTGCCCCACCTGGTTTCAACAGCTGGTAATAGAATACATCTTTGGTTACATCTTGCAACCCAAGACAGATTGTCGTACAAGCTGCTTATTAATAGCTGGTTTTGCCTATGATGTCTGTTGCTGGTATTTGCCTTAGAAAGATATATTAATTTGCTTATGACTAAAGGTTTACTCTGCTATATTTTAGCTAACAGATTCTTAGTAACAGTAACATGAGCTCTCTCCCCATGAAATCAGAAAAAAAACCCCAAACAAACAACAAAATTAGTCAATCTTGTAGGGTCTTAAAAATACTCTTTAATGCATATTAAACTGCATCACGATTGCTTAAAAATAAAGGGTTTGTGGAATCTCCCTCACTGGAGATATTCAAGAACTGACTGGATGCAATCCTGTGCCGTGTGCTCTGGGATGGCCCAGAGAAGAGAGGTTGGGCCGGATGACCCACTGTGCTCCCTTCCAACCTTATACATTCTGTGATTCTGTGAAAAGGTCTCTGAATGAAACAAGCAGGAAAGTAGAATATTGTAGGTTCTAATAGAAAACAAGAGGTTTTTAAACCTTAGGGTTTCAAGCTGTCTCATGATCTTCAACAGAAAAAAAATACCCTTATGGAAGAATGCAACTTCCTGACAAAGTATTTCTCTTTAGGAGGTAAAAAGCCTTAATGGTGCTTTGTTTAGGCTGTGTGGTTGGATCCATAAATAACCTTAAAACTCCTCTTAAAAACAGTGAATTTCATCTACACAAGAGCAGGCCTTTCCCTTAACTACCTTTCAGAACAGCTTTGACAAAATTGTTGCGACTGAAAAGCACAAAGCCAGACAGCACAAGAAGATGACCAGAGCAATATACTTACTGCAAGGCAGGAGGAACATAGGACTTGATATTCCATGTTATTTTTGTGCCCAGATCACAGTGGAGCTGTGTGCAAATGCTCTAATGAAATACTGCTTCTTTCCTTGGGAACATCTAGATGGATTCAGAAACTCTCTGAGAGAAGAGCAGTATTGAGCACACAGTTACTGGATTGATCCTCACAGCTTTACATCCGTGCATTTTAGATCCTTGGTAGATTCTAGGCTTCTTCAAATAGATCCATAAAAGGATAACCAAGAAAAACAACCTCAGATGTGTAAACTTGTAAGGAAAGCCTTAATACCTTCTCTGGAACATACCTACAGGTGGTAATTGGGGAAAAAAAAAGAAAAAGAAAACCACCAGACTAATCTGAAAAGACTTTCTATATCCCAGCATAAACACTGCTCAGCAGTAGTGCATTTCTAGAAGCTTAAAAAATCTTCTTTTACATTCATTCTCCCTAAGGAGGCATCCACACAGTGAAAGAGGATGTACTGTGTGTCAATCCACTTGGAAATGTCCCAGCGTGGACTAACTCACTTCAGTTTTATTGCCACATCAAAAGGTCAGTGTGTTAGCTTGCATTAAAATCATAATTTCATTGTCTGCTGCAGGATTTGATTACACATTAGCTGCTGGGGGTTTGGTTTGTTTGTTTTGTGCAATTTTTTTACTGATGAGAATTTATGGGAAAAGTTGCTGGCAGGATGGGGAATGTTCATGGGACCTGGTGCACTTTCCACTACTGAATCAAAACCACAAAAATGTGGCAGGTGGCCTGCAGCAACTCACACCAAAAGGTCTAGAAAAATGAGCAATGTAATCATTACACTCTTAGTGCTGAGACCTATTTATGGCCAACCTGTCCCATTCAATTTTTAGCTACTGTTCCCTTTACAGTATTCTTTCACAATGTGCTATGGAGCTTATGTACCAAACCCACTTTGCTGCATGGAGCCTGGCTGCCAACAAACCCTAATAAGGCATCTCTGAAGGGTAGAGGTTTTTTTAGGGAAAAAGGAGAATTTGTTTCTCTTCTCTTGCTAGCTCAAGTTTCAGTTGTTTTTAACAAATTAGCTATGGTTGTATTTCAGCTTCAGGAAGTCAGCTAAAGGCAGGAGGTCAGGTCAAGTTTGCCCAAATTCCGGGGACCACCTTTTTTCTGTAGTCAGTGGAGTAGGAGGTGAACTTCCTGGCAGCACGATGCAGCTTGCTGGTGGATTTCAGTGGAAGTCAATTAAAAGAGATACCTGCATGTCTATTGCAGGCATCCTGAACTATGACATGGGTCATTTCTTGCAATGAGCTGATGCAATATAGTCAGTTGACAAAAGATTGTTTAAATGACAGTGAGTTTTGGCCTTTTTTGCATTCCTTTCGAGCCACAACTAGCAGATTTTCTTCATGACAACATCTGGAACAGACATTTTGCAGAGCTGAGGTGGCTGGCTGGCTGCAATGTCCATCTTGCACATGTCAGTGCTTTACTTGAAGTTTGCAGGAATTGTTGTCCCTAATTATCAGGTGCTATAAGGACACACAGCTGAAAGATGGCCCTTGGTGCCCAAAACTTGGGTTAAACTTCTGTCAGTGACCCTGCTGTGACAACTCTGCCTTGGTGGGCTGCACTGCTTTTTCTCTTGCCCTTTAAAATGGCAAAGCTACCAGAAGGTAAGCACCTGGTTATTATGTTTAATTACTGTAATACATACTAGGAGGAAAAACCTATGTTTACTCTTTAATAATGTTACACTTGGGAAAAAAAATACGTGGGGAAAAAAAATAGTGGATTTACTTGAAGGCAGCTGTGGCTTCTGTTTGTGCTGTTTTGCAGTACATGTGCTCAGCACTGCAAGAAAGTACCAGTTGTTCCTCATCAGCAAAATGGCTGCAGGTGCCTTGCACCCGGTGTTTTAAAGAAAAGTGTCGGCTTACAGCATTGCTAGGTATGTGGTGCTGTGGGGTTTGGTTGCTTTTGGGGTAGTGAGGATTTTATTTTGGGGTTTTTTTTGGAATGTGTATTAAGATAACTCCATGCAGCCATTGAGTGATGTTAACAGGAGGTGTGCTGGCACTGAGAGTAAGCTCCAGCATCATGTGCTGGAGAAGGAGATTGCAGGGCAGGTGCTCCTGCTGCCCTGGGACACAGTGGGACCCTGAGGGGCAGAGGTGGGCCCGGCTGGCAGGTGTGGAAAGCTGCTCTGTAGGGAATAGGGCTTGACGTGATGTCAGCTGTGCCTGGGGAGGCCTGTCCTCAGCTGGCACAGAATCACAGAAACAATGTAGGGTTGGAAAAGATTTCTGAGATCCAAATCCGAACACCACCGTGTCAAACTAGACCATGGTGCCATATCCATGGTGCCATATCCAGTCTTTCCTTAAACACCTCTGGCGATGGTGACTCCACCACACCTCCCTGGACACTCCATTCCAATGTCTAATCGCCTTTTCTGTGAAGAAATTATCTATAATGTTCAACCCCAACCTCCCCTGGTGCAGCCTAGGACTCTGTCCTCTTGTCCCGTCACTTGTTACCCGGGAGAAGAGGAAGACCCCTCTTTGGCTACAGCCTCCTGTCGGGTGTTTGTAGAGAGCGACAAGGCCATTGCTGAGCCTCCTCCCGGAGCAGCGGGATGTGTGGCAGCCGGCGTGGTGCGGTGTCGGTGCGGGCCGGGCGCTGACAGGCGGGGCGGGCGGGCCGTGTTTACATCCCGTGCCGCCGCACGCTGCCGCGGCTCCGCGCGCTCCCATTGGCGGCTCGG